AAAGAGGAAGGAAGGAAAGGAGGGAGGAAGAAAAAGAGGGAGGGAAGGAAAGAAGAGAAGGAGAAAGGAAGGAAGGAAGGAAGGAAGGAAGGAAGGAAGAACACTTACGAAGTTCCAGGCCCTGTGCTAACTGCTTTACAAACATCACCTCAACTGATCCTCACAACAGCCCTGGAAGGTAGATGCTTTATGACCTCCATTTTGCAGCTGGGAAACTAAGGCAGACAGGGTTAAGAGATCTGCCCAGTCACACAGTTTGTAAGTGTCTGAGGCTGGATTTGAACTCGGGTCTTGAACTTGACTCCAAGCTTCACATTCTATCTGCTGCACCACCTAGCTGCCTCTATGAATAAAGTGATACAAAGTGGAAAGATGGTGCCAAAAGAACAATATACAAATACAGAGTGACAGAGTCAACACTAGGCGGCAACACAACTTGGGACGAGGCCAGACACAAAGGACAATGCTGGTGCCAAACTAGCTACGCCAGGGCACCCGTTCACGTTAGCTTACAGCTGGTAAAATGTGCCATCAGTGGGGCGATGCCACTCGGAGGTTGTGCTCGACAAATGATTTCAGGGCGTGCACTGTGCGGGGCTTTGCCGGCAAACATCCGTTGAACCAGATCAGATGTAACGAGATTTTTTTTTTAAAGCAGGTCTTTGCCCCAGGCTGGTCCTTGGTCATCTTGTCCTCTCTCTGTACCCTTTCCTCAACGCATCCACCCCATCTTTGTTCCGTCTATCTCTTGGGGAATTCCCCAATCCACTTCCCTCCCTGCCAAGCTTTCTCAGAGCTCTCCTGTCTCTGGGCTGTCTCCACCTCACAGAGCAGAAACGCTAACAGGTCAAACGGACAAGGGATTCAGAGACGGGAGAAGACAGGACCGCTGAGCTGCTGGTTTGAACTCCAGAGGTTTAAAGCTGAACTCATTACCTCTCCCTTCCAAAAAACTACCCTTCCTCCTAACTTCTCTCCCCATTAACAGCATCATCATGATCCCTGAAAACGGAAGTCCTCCTCCCACCCCATCACTGTATGAATCCAGTCAGGGGTCAGAGCTTGGGAATCTTCCCTCGACGAGGTGGCTCAAATCCTCATGGTGCTCTTCATTCCCGCGGCCCCTCATCTCCTCCTGCCCATGTTGTTGGAACAGCTGGCTCTCCTGTGTCCCCTTCCCAATCCACCCTTCCTATCACCACCCAGACAGATCTTCCTAATGCAGAGCACATCACTGTTTCTTTACTTAGAACCCTTCCCACGCCTGTGGAGCACACTGTCACCCCTCACAACGTGGTTCCACCCTGCCTTCCCAGCCTTACCCCCTAACACTCCTTCAGGTCCTCCATATGCTGCCAGACTGACTCCTCCTCCTCCATGTTCAGGCTCCTACCCCATCTCCATAATAACAATAACAAGAAAGATACCCCTCATTCGCACAGTATATTAAAACCTTTTTAAGCCCCTCCCTCCCTTCAAGAACCAATTGAGGTATTATACCTCAAGGTCCTATTCCCCCCTCCTAACCCACTCCCAACCTTCCAGACCCACTCCTGCCCCCTGCAACCAAAAGTAACCTCTCCCTCCTCACAGTCCCTGTAATACTTGGCCTACACCGTTCTCTTACACCTACCAAAGTCTCCTTTGCATCTGCTCTTTCTGTGGTAGGTATCATTTCCCTCTATTAGACTTTAAGTTCCTCCAAAGCAGGGTCTATGGTCACATCTATCTTTGTGTAATAAGGATTAGCAGTATCTTGCAGAATAGGGATGTAAGTCTCAGGGACATTCACTTACCCACCATTTCCTAATCTGTAACAAATCTAATCTGAAACAAATATTTGTTTCTATATATTGTCTCTCTTCCACTTCATTTTCTAATCTGTAAAATGGAAGTGTCATTGCTTTTTCTGTCTTCTTAACAACAGATGATGCATATAATGCTTATCACAATTAAAATCTATGATACTGGTATATGATAAACACACACTATTATCATACTATAAGGAGCTGAAATTTCATCTGTTTTCAGTACTCCCTCTGCTAAGACAGATCACAACCCCCTCTCTAATTTAGGTCAGCAAGAGCGGCCTTGAATGACAACACCACCCTTCTGCAGCCACTGTGGCGCTGAGCCCTCCGACCTCAGCCAACAAACAAAAAGTCTGCCCCAAGAGTCCGGCTTGGGAGAACCTGCCAGGCAGTGTTTCAAAGACCCAGAATGACCCCCAGTCTATGAACTACCAGAACTGAACTTTTAATACTTAGTGGCGGTTTTTTGGTTCTAGTCCAGTGATTTCCTTGATGGGAGAACTCCCAGTGTGGAACTGCCTTCGTCCAATGTACACTGGTAAGGTGTATCTAACTTAGTCTCTTGAAGAGTTCTGGGGCACTGAGAAGTTGGTGGCAATGGTCACACAGCTAACTGGTGTCAGGAGCAGGACAGGAAATCAGGGCATTCTTGCTCCAAAGCCAGTTCTCCTGCTACTATAGCAGAGGCATCACTTATCCTTCTGGGGAACCCCTCGCAAGCTCCCCCAAGGTGTCCTTGTGATCTCTCCCATTAATCTCACACACACACACCACACACACACAGAGCATCCTGACCATCACAAAACGAACTCTTTTTGCGTGCCCTGTAAAATGAACATGGGTAGGGGAGCGAGCAGGTGCCATGATGCTTTCAGGACTGGTCTAAAATAAGGCGTGAGGATGTGTGAAATCTTTTCCTCGGGTTCACTGTGCTCAGAAGTCATCAGAATAAACGTCAGGCTAAGCAGACACTAAGTAACAGCTTTTGAGATACGGTGATTTTTCACCTTAAATAAAGGCTATTGTTCACCAGAAACTCTGAACTAGAGATACACTGGCTATTTTAAATAGAGATTTGTTTAGTGGAGGAGAGGCAATACATAGAAACAAATATTAAGTCATTAAAATGTATAAAACTAAATAGGAACGTTAGTGAGAAATAAGGAACATGATGCATACCATGTTATCGATAGCTGCTGCAGCATCCTACAGAGAGAGAGAACCAAAAAACAGTTAATTACCATTTTGTAAAAACTACAGTGCAATGCAACTGGGCATTTAAGTAGAAATCATGATTTAAAAAAGGCAGCATTAACCAATCTCTCATGTAATAATCATCTAAGCAAGGTCCTCTCCAAGGTGAGTCAGGGCTCCGTCCTGGACCCTCTCCTTTCTCTAATCAGTAAGCCCACGGATTCAATTATTATCTCTAAACAGATGACTCCCAACTCTATATATCTACTCCTAATTTCTCTCTTGAACTACTATCCCTCTTACTTACTGTCTGCTAGACTTCACCACCAGGACGCCCGGTAAATGCTCCAAAATCAGCACGTGCAAAACAGAACTCAATACATCACCCTCCCCAAATCCATGCCTCCTCTAAACGTCCCTATTTCCACCGATAGCCCCACCATCTTTCCAGCTTGGGGAGTTTGCAGCCCTGAAGGCTTCCTCGATCCCCATGCCCAACCAACTGCCAATACTCCATCTCCAGTATGTCTTCATGGCCTTTCTGGCTCACACCTCCCTTCCAAGTCTTAATTATTACCCCCTTTCATTCTCTGCTGCAGTCCCACGGGCCTGATGGCTGCTCCCCACACACACAATCCCATCTTGTATCTTTGGACATGGGGTCTCCCATGTCTGGAATACACCGCCTCCCCCCCGATACCTCCCAGGCCAGAACCACCTCCTACATCAGGCCTTTCCTGGGCCAACTTCCTCCATGACACCGCCCATTATTAGCATCCTCTCCCTGCTAAACTGCTGTGAATTGCTTTGTATGTGCTTGATGGCATATTCTTTATACAAAACAGATGTATATTCTGTGTTTACCTGTATGCCTATTATAGAGTCTCCAGTAAAATGTAAGCTCCTTGAGGGCACACAATTTTTTTTTGTCTTAGTATCCCCAGCACTTGGGACAGTACCCTGCATACAGCAGGTGCTTAATCAAGACTTCCTGAAATAAAAAAAAGTTTGCCCTGAAAGCTCACACACATTTCACTTGGATCTCCACTGAAAAACCCTCATGAGAATGAGCATATTTCCAAGGAGCGCCCCCAAGGAAGAATGGCTCATTCTGCGGTCGAAAGACAAATGAGGGGAAATCAAAGCTTTCAAAGCAGGGTGCTTCTCAGGTAAACAGATGCCCATCAACTGAGGAGCAGCCACACAAAGTGTAACCTAACAATGAGACTCGATACAATCATGGCAAAATCCAACGAGCTTCATAAAGGAAAGCAACCAGAACTGGGAAAACAATATACATCATGACCACAATGGAGACGGAAAAAAACCCCCAAGCCATACTGGGCAATTCTAACGCCCAAGCCTGTCCCCAAAAAGGCAGGAGCAAAACCACCTTCCTCCTTCTTTGTAGAGGTGGGGGACTGTGGGCATGGAACGCTGCATATATTACCAGATTCAGAAAAGGTACTGGTCGCTTTTGCTGAGCTGGTGTTTTTTTTTTCTTTCTAACAAGGAAGGACAGCTCTGTGGGTACGGGCAGGGGATAAGGAAGGACGTGTATGGAAATGAAGATGAGGTGAGACCAAAAAACATCGAAAAAAACTTCTGTTCCTGTTTCTCACCTCTGCCAACTCAAATTCGACAAATGCAAATCCTCGATGTTTTTCTAAGAGAGAATACAGAAAGGAATCGTTAGACAATATAACTTCATGATAAGACACACTGCTACCAGTGGAGCTCAAGAAAAAAACGAGAAATTGCTAAACATCTCTATCAGGAAGTACTTCTTTTTGATGCTGCTACCGAGCCCATTTAGGAATTGACACCGTGATCCGTACACTTTCCTTGACTTAGCCAGGACACACCAAGAATGACCAACATCTTGGCAATGCAGCCGCTCACTTACTTTAACATATCAACAGCTCTGTGACTTGATCAAGGTATACTGGCTAGATCACCACCCTTAGTACACGACTGCTGGAGCTGCTCACAAACCTGGTGGCCAGCCTCCTGTGGATGAGCTCTGGCCGAAGAAGAGTCACCGAGGCCGTCCTCAGCCTTCCCAGACCAGCAGGGCCCGGCAGAACTGGTGGTCCCCTGCACACTATGATGAAACCTTGGGAGAAGACACTGCAGAAGAGCAGCCCCACGTGTTCATACGTTTGATGACATCAGAATTTTAAACCTAACTGGCTATGAATAAGTCCTGCTAACCTTTGCTTACAAAATTGTCTGGGCAACAGATCATAACTCAATCAACTATTGATTATTCATTCAACAAATAATTCTCCATGCCTCCAGTGCACACAATAGTGTGCCACACAGCACAGTGGCAAGCAAGCTAGGGCACGCTCCTTGAGGTGGAAACGGGCCTGGTTTGATCAGAAAGGCCAGGCCCATGTGGCAATCAGAGAACACAGCAACATACACACTTGCGTGACAAACAGCAGTGTAGATCAATGGCGTGTGAAGGCCTCGGCCTGGCTCTCAGCTCTGACGCCGGTTGGGCGAGCTTGGGGAGATCATTTATCTAACTCTCTTTATGGAGAAAACAGGAAGGATCACTTTGGCCCTCCCTACTCTCAAGAAGTTGTTGTGAGGGAAGGGCTCTGTAAACACTCAAGTGCCACAGAATTACGAGAAATCTCATATAAGGATATGACACTGCCATCGTGACGTGGTAACAGCCCACACCTCTGGAGAAGGGAAGATCACAGAAGTCCACTTGGCTGGCTTGGAGGCCACCCAGCAGTCCTGGTGATCGGGTCCCCGCCCTGTAGCGGCCGTCGGCTCTGCTGTGCCACACTGCTGGGGAGGCTGGATTACCCAAACATACTGACTGGAGACCCGCTGGACAGGCAGTGTCAATGGCTTACCCGGCTTCCAATTTCAAGGGAATAATGGATAAAGACTTTAAATTATTTTCTCCTATTGTAAAGCTTTTAATTTAAATAGTCAAATGCGACAAAAAGGCTCAAAGGCTAAGACAGACTCCTCCCCACTCCAATGCACTGTCTGAATTTGATTCAATTCCCATGCTAGCTGCTTGGTATACAAAGTAAAAAACTAAACAGCCCCTGGCCTCCAAGAGGAGAGCCTGCACAAAGGCACAGAGTTGGGAGAGAAGACGAAGTGTGTGGAGAACAGTGGGCCATCCCACTGGGCAAGACTAGAAGAGCTCCCATTAATATAGGGCTTAAGACCAGCAAAGCACTTTACACACCTCATTCTGTATGAACTTCACAAGGACCCTGTGAGGCTGGTGCAAACTATTAGCTTCATTCTACAGATGAGGAAACTGAGTCTCCCCGAGGTGAAATGACTTGGCCAGAATGACAGTTCTTAAGTATCTGAGGCAAGATCTGAACCCTGGTCTTCCTGACTCCCAGTTCAGTGCCCTTCCCACCATACCGCTGGTCTGATAGCACCCCAAAACCTTGACCCTTCTCTTAAGGCATGGCTATTCTTTTGTATTGCCCTTCTCCCCGTGCGTCACAACACATCACAGAGGGTAACTGGGTTTTCCTATGGCACTTCTGAACTCTCCTCCCTAAAATAAAAGAAAAGACATAATACACGTGTTCACCTGTTTCATAATCCAGTGGTATCTGAATGTCTGTGATGTCTCCAAAGGGAATAAAAGCAGCATGAAGGACCTTCTCATCCACCTCCTCTGCCAGGCCACCTGCAAATGAACCAAAGGCATCCTCTGCCATTCCCCTTCACATATGGATCGGGAAGAGAGTCCAACCCACGGGCTAAGCTGGGCCATGCTGGGCAAGCCCCCTGGCCAAGGGCCTCTGTGTCCTCATCCACAGAAGGATGGGCTTGGACCAAAATGACCTCCAAGGTCTCTTAGAGCTTAAAGCTCTAAAGCCATACGCCATGTGCCAGCAATGTGCCTGATGCAGAGGACAGGCTATGCCCTGGTAAGGACCTTGCCTCCACGACAAGGAAACGGCCATATATGCAGTAACAATAGCTAATTTTTACTTATCATTTTCTGTGTCAGGTACTGTGGTAAGTGCTTTACAATTATCATTTCATTTGATCCTCACAACAACCTCGGAAGGTAGGGGCTATTATATTCCCCATTTTTCACTTGAGGAAACTGAGGCAAACAGGGTCAAGTGACTTGCTCAGGATCACCTAGTTAGCTCTCTCACTGCCAAGCCTTTGCACATGCCTGGAATGCACCAACTCTTCTCTTCAGCCTATTAAAGTCCCAGATTTCCTTCACAATTCTGCTCAGGGACCACCTTCTGCACTCAGCCTTTCCTGCCCATCCAAATTACCTGGGGCTCATTTTATATTTTGCATATACTTATATATGTACCTACTGTCTCCTTGGGTAGGCTATAAGCTGCTGGGAGAGCAGGGACTCTTTGCCTTTTGTGTTCTGTAACCCTCAGGGCACAGCACAATGGGAAGGGGCTTTATAAAATGCCTGCCCATTGAAGGGTTTTAAGCAGAAAAATGACAGATGGATTCTTGAGGAAGTTTAGTCTGAGCCAAGAAAGGTCCCAGGGAAGGGGAGAGGAGAGAAGCTGGAGAGCAAGCAGGCTTTTGCAATGTTGTCCTCAACACGGGAGGTCCTTGGTGAACAAGCCTGTAGTCACTCAACAACCCTTTATCAAAGTCTCCTATGTGCCATTCCTTGTCAGCTGGGCAGCAGAGTGGATAGACGGCCAAGCCTGGAATTCGTAAGACCTGAGTTCAAATGTAGCCTCGGACACTTGCTAGTTGTGTGACCCTGGGCAAGTTGCTTCACCCTGTTTGCCTCAGTTTCCTCATCTGTAAAATGAGCTGGAGAAGGAAATGACAAACCAGTCCAGTATCTTTGCCAAGAAAACCTCCAACGGGGTCATGAAGAAGCGAACACGACTGAAAACCCCTGTACAACATGTGCCCTTAGACTCCTTTAGAGCTGGGACAAACCGTCTTTTGCTGTATCCCCATCACTTAGCAGGTGCGTAGGCACTTAATAATTGTTGGTGTGGGCGGCACTCTGGGCACCTTCTGCCTGCATACGGGTGGAAGGCGTGTCCTCACCTGAGAGTTCCCTAGACCGCTGAAAGCACGGTCCATCCCCAAAGAGGTGGTTCGATTTAATTGCACAGGCATTTATTAATAGCCAGCTAGGTGCAAGGAACGGGCGAAAATGCAGAAACCACTCCCTGCCCTCAAGGAGCTTACGTTGGGTCGGGAGATACAGCAGATGGCAAAAAGGTAAATTAAACCTAAAAGAATGCATGCGGAATAGAACCTCACGATTGCCTAAGGACCCAACCTCAGAGCGCGCGCCCCGCCCCCCCCTCCCCCCGCGTAAGCAGCGCAGGCACTGCCCCCGAATGGTCAGCAAGGCTCGCGCCCGCCTCTTCCCCCATGTCTCGCGATACCTAGCCGTGCACGCTCCCTCCCTTGTCCTCCCAGGCCTGAGGCACAAGGCCTCCGACCAGACTCCCCTCACCGGCTCGATATCCTCAGACCGAGTAGAAAACCACTCCTGCTGGAACCTCGACCTTAACCCCAACCCAGAGACTTGAAATTCCACTCACCCACATATAAGACCCGCTTAGTGGCGGCCATCTTGTGTTGGGCTACGCATCCGGAAGTTGACGTCTCCCACCGCCCCCATTTCCGCCCAGGCCCAGAAGGCCGGGGGCGTTGTGTTCCCCTGCAGCCGTAGGCTGGTCACGCTAAGAGGAGGCTTTGTGCGCAGGCGCAGTGTGGGGCGACGATGGCGTCACAAATCGCCCTTTATCTTGGGAGAGAAGGGAGGGAAGGAGAAAGTAGGGAATGGACAGCATTTAAATGTTTACAGTGGCCCTGAGCTAATCACTTGAAAGAGTCGTAAAAAATTTTTTAGTGCCAGTCCTCGAGGAGCTTACATTCTAATAAAGGGAGACAAAACATATAGAGGAGTAATGGCCCGGAAGTACGCCAGTGGAGTGCCCTAGGGCGTTAGGCTGTAGAACGTTTTATCCTGGACTAGAATAAGGGGATGGACAGCATGCTGCTCAAATTTGTGAGGATGCTAACCCGGAAGTGATGACATTCTGATTAACAAAAGTCAGCATCCAGAAGGGCCTTCGAGGTCTAGAACTCTGGGATGACTCTACCAAGATGAAAATGGGTAGTTGGGAGGGCATGACCACTATCTTTAAGAGTTTGTAATGAAGGATGGGGCAGCTAAGTAGTGTAAGTGGATACAGTGAGAGGCCTGGAGTCGGGAAGACTCCTCTTCATGAGTGCAAATCCTCACCCAGACACGTAACTGAGTGACCCTGGGCAAGTCGCTTCACCCTGTTTGCCTCAGTTTCCGCGCCTGTAAAATGAGCTGGAGGAGGAAATGGCAAACCACTCCAGTATCTTTGCCAAGAAAACCCTAAAGGGAGTCGCACAAAAAAGGCTAAAACTGATGCAAGTGAAGAAGACAAGGAAAATTTTTGTTTTGTTTTACTTTGAGCTCTTGGTGTATTGGAGGAATGAGGATAGCTGAAGAAGGGATAGGACCACTACTCGATGTGGATGGATCAGTAACTGACAACAGAAAACATAGATGCTAAATTTTAATTTTGCTGATTTTCTCTGCCAAAGAGAATTAGAAAGGGGGAAAAAACAGTTAATAGGGACTCAACACCCAACACTACCTGGCCCGTATTTGGCACTTAAATGCTTATTGACTACCTGAATGAAAAGCTAACAGAAGGACTCGGGTAACCATAATGAATTCAGGTCACCTCACCCAGATGAGGAGTATCACCGGGCACTACCAGAACTGGCTTAGGTGACCTCGGAGGCTCGTTCTTTGTTTTGGACGTTAGAAGTACATAAGATTAGAGATGGGCAAATGTCCCAGTATTCAAAAAAGGGACGAGAACTTAATGAACATCTTCAAATTCAAAAACTATTTAAAAATGGACTCAAAGATTTTATGTTTACAAGTGTACAGGTCACATGGGGCTGGCAAAATATCAGTGTAAGAATGGGCTACAGTAGAACAGGGGCTCATGAGTTACCACTCAATCATTATAAGGTGGGTGGTGCTCAAAATCCTCACCGAGAACTCCTGCATCTTTTCTTCGGAATCCAGTTTGCCACAGTTCTGGGGATGTGCTCAGTTTTGGACTTTGGACTTGGACAAGGCCAGTGATTGTTGGCTATAGATTCCTAGGCAGCTGTAAGACTGTTTTTTTTTTTTTAGTGCTCCCAGAGGCTGTGGCCTCATTCATTTGGTTTCTTCAAACATGGTTTGTTGACAGTTCAACCTGTCCTTGTGGACTATCCTTATTAAACAAAGAATCATTCAGTCACTCGAGGTAAACACCTGAGTGGGAATTCCTCCATGGACAAATTGAATAATTGAATGTTCCAGGTACATTACTAATAGTGTTATTTGGCAAATGTTATGCATATTGATTCAGAAGCTAATACACCCCAGAATTCCAGGATTCTTTGCTTCTTAAGATCTTCTGGTATCCATTCCCCAACTGATAAAATGATCAAGGGATGTGGATAGAAAATGTTCAGAGGAAGAATTCTAAGCAAATAATGACCATGTGAATAGATGCTTTAAATTGTTATTAGAGAAATGTAAGTTAAAACGACTATGAGGTACTGCCTCATACCTATCAGATTGGCAAAGACGACAAAAATGGAAAATCACAGCTGGAAGGGCTGTGGGAAAAGATACCCAGCATGCAGTTAGTGGAGCTGTGAACTAGTTCAAACATTCTAGAAAGCAATTCGGAATTACTAAAAAAAGCCCTGCATACCCTTTGACCCAGCATTAGATCTGTATCCCAAAATGATTGCAGAAAAAGTGGCAGCACGGAATTAGAAACTGAGGGGGATGCTCTTCAATTGTGGATGTGATGGAGCACTATTGACTTTGGCAATACTGACCAGTACACTACCCAACTACAACTCCAAAAGAATTCATGATGAAACATGCTACCGATCTCGAGTCACAGGGCAGACATGCTTGAGATCAAATGGAGGCATATTTTATTTTCTTTTTTTGGACATGTATGTAATCATAGTGGTTTTTTGAGAGGTGTGAGAGAATTTGGAACTGAAAATACAACCAAATTTCAAAAAACTTTCAGCCACCATCTTATCTTGCCTCTACAATACTTAATGGTCCCAATACTTCAAATGATCCATCTCCAAAAACTTATTAAAGCCCCTACTAGGAGGCAGCTGGATGGTGCAATGAACAGGATATATAATTGTAAGTCGTCTCACATGCTAAGGCACTGATATGGTTCATTAAAGTAGTCAGCACATCAGTAGAAATTGTGACCCAACCACACCACCTCATCCTGTTTAATTCTTGTCCACCATCTCCTAGAGATCCCACAGAGCTCATCTAATACCTCTCACTTTGCCTTTTGGGCTACGTGAAACCTTGATTCTTTGTGATTTGTGATGTACCATGATATCTGACATTTCATAATTAAAAATGTCCAGCTCTTGGGGCAGCTAGGTGGCGCAGTGGATAGAGCTCCAGCCTTGGAGTCAGGACCTGAGTTCAAATCTGAATTCAGACACTTGACACTTACTAGCTGTGTGA